CTACCATGTCAAACTTCACCCAACCTGGCTTTGAAGACTTCCAGGTTTGGTGTATCCACAGCTTCTCTGGGAAACTCATTACAGTGATCACTGGAGCATGATTGAATTTCGTGTTGCAAACACTAATATACACCTCTCCACACCTGTAGGCAAGCTAGGGGATTTCCTCAGCTGCTTAAATGACATAGTATAATGAAATTCGATGCAGGTTGCCTAGACCAACCATTGTAGCAGCCCACCAAACCACCCTCTGCTGCTATTCCAGGTCTGTGCAGGTGTCCTGTTCATCCTTGTATTCACTAGTGAAGGTTTAGGGCTTTTAGGTGACTTTGGACACATGTTCATAAGCAATTCAACCAAGTCCCAGAGAAGGAAAAGTTAATCTCTAGATTTGTAGGCCTGAAATTCTGTGAATGTTCTGGAGGATGATTCAGTTACCAAAATCTGTACCTCTTGTGCCATTTCAGAAGCTCTGTGGTATCTGGTGTAAATACAGTCCAGAAAATGTACACCATTCTGCAGCAGAAACTGGAAGCCATGATGGAGTATTTCACTGCAGCACTGAACACTGAAATGCTTGAAGATTAATTCAGTAGCAACCTAGGGAAATACGTCATAAGGCTAAATAGGCAGCAAGGTGATAAGTCCAGGGCTATTTGTGGCATGCAAGAATTTGCCTTTAAGCATTTAAGAAGTGTCAAAGTCTGAGAGATGAGACAGAGAGGGATGCTGGCCCCTTACTACTGTCTAATTGTGGAGCTAACTGAAGTGGAAATTAACCAAAGTATAACTACCTAAATCCTTTGGAGATTCCTTTGAAGTTGTTTGATTTTCAGAATGCTGAATGTTCTTCACTTCCCAAAACCAGGGACTGATATCAGTGTTCTTGCTGAGGTTTTATTTTGTAAGCATGGCTGGAGGGCTTGATTTTCATAGGTGCTGAATAGTATTAATTAATGTCTGTAGTTTGGCACCTGGCAACTGCAGAACTCAAAGTGATATGCTATTTTTGAAAATGTGAAACTGTCTTTAAGCTCCAGGGACACATGCTACAGAGATGGAAAGGGGCTACTTTCCCAGCTTCCCCTAATACATATAAATCTCTGAATTTCATTTTAAGTGTTGGCTGACTTTGAGGGGTCTGGGGAGAGGACTGGGGGGACACTTGTTTAAAATAACTTCGGGCTTTTTTTCTTTCATAATCAGAAAGGATTATGTTTTCTTCACACATAGGCCTGAGGATCTGAAAAACAGTGACAATTCATTTGCAGGTTGGGGCACATTTTCCAGCCCTATATGTGTATTTGGGGACTATCTGCTATGGGAAGTGTACAGTCTCTGTCACTTAGCAACCACTCTCCCTCTTCTTGGAGTAGCAGGGGGATGCTCTGCACATGCATGTGCACCAGTAATCTGGTTTTCAGACCACAGAAGGTCTTGTTGTGATACAGTCAGCCAGATCACATACTGTGATATTTTCCAGATGATCAATTCATTTTGATTCAGTGCAGGCAAAATCTCAACCAGTTCCTTTTAATGTTCTGTTTCTGAGCTGAAAGTGTTTGAGATCATTGTTTGCTGGAAGAAAAGAAGGGAATATTACCTCGGCAGTGAGTTTCTAGACAGAGTTTGTATTGAAGAGCCTGTTGCAGATTGTGTGAAGGGAAGTATACACAATGCTGCCTTAGAGCAGAGGGAAATGTGAAGAACTTACAGCCACAGAAATGAAGAGTCATTACTGTTTTGCAGGGCAAAAAGACCATCATTTAATTGGTTAAGAAACACACAGGGTTCACACAATTTTCTCTCTGGACACTTGTCAGAAGTGCAATGAATCAGCAGTGAGTTGGTTATACATCCAGTGCCTGCAGGGGTGCACGTTCGTCATCCAGTGCTGATGGGTCTGAGATGTACACTAGATGGTGCTTGCACAACGCAGGCAGCAAACGTGTGTCTGTCTCGAGATGTGTCAGCAGCTCAGTGCTCCACCTCCTCCTCAAGTATTTTCTGTGATGAGCACTCTGTTCCATTATGTGGAGTCCTGTATTAAATACAGAAGATTCATGTGTGATGTAAAAAATGTTTATTTGCTATTTCACTGACCAAAGCAATAAAGAGATTAAATGCCTAATTTTCATATCTATAGATATGTTTTCACATGCTTCTGTATATACAAGGAGTTGGCAGCTCAAAGTTTCTAAAGATAGAGACTTGCTGTTGTAAAACCTCTTTTATGTTACCCTTATTAAAGTGATACATGTGCACAGAATTGAAATTAAAAGAAGGGCTCTCTTTGTTTATACAGCACACAACATCACTATCTAAAACCTACCATGAACTATCACAACTTTCTGAAAAGGAAGAAGAAAAAGAAATAAAAGGACACCTATCTTCCCCATTTCATCAGCATTGTTCCAGAAAAGAAAAAGAAAATAAAAAGATAACATTAAATGCTGAAAGAAATGATCCTTTTGAATTTTAAAAATGAAGAACATATTGAGTAAAATCTTTTTATATATCCCTGGAACCTATGAGAAGCTGAACAGGAGAAAACAAGAATCAATCATTTTTATAATTCTATGTGGTCTCTAAATGATGTCTATTTTGACAAAGGAAGTCTTGGGGTTTAACTAAAAAAAAAAAATTAAAAAGTATTCAAAAATTATTTAAAATAATTCAAGTGTTAACATAATATATATACTTACCCTATCCCAGTTCAAGTAGGATAAATGCACTACCCAGATATATCATATATTGATTCTCAGTCCTTTGTTTTTAAAGTCCAGACATAGTAATTTAAAATAATCCAATTATGCTATTATACAAGCTTAACTCCAATTTTTATTTATTTTTTTAGGATTTTGTTTATTTCAGTAATTTCTGAAGGTTCATATACCTGGAATGAAGTCTAAAATCAAATGTGATTACTTTCAATGTCTGCACATTTTGAACAAGGCTGGATTTTGGACAGAGAAAGAGAAGTGGGTAGCAGGGCCAGGAGAATGATGATTGCCAGAAAGAATAAAGACATTGAGCCAGGTTTGTTTGTATTTGTGCCAACATGTGAATCTAAATATTCCAATTCAAATTGTGCTGCCAAAACAGACCAAAAAAGAGTTCAACAACAATTTCTTCAGTCTTCTTACACTCAAATTCATTGTACTCCAGATGTTTGTAAGGGGAACAGTAGTGGCAAGCTATACTCTGCACTATATTAAAAGGAATGGGATGTAATGATGATTAAGGTAGTGGGAACGATGGAGAGATTTGGAATGAGGTGCTGGACAGCAGGGCCATGGAAAGGAACCTGGGGCTCCTCCTCAGTGGCAAGTTGAACTTGGGTCAGCAGTGCCCTGGCAGCCAGGAGGGACATCCCTGTCCTGGGGGCAGCAGGCACAGCATGGCCAGCCGGGCAAGGGAGGGGATTGTCCCGCTCTGCTCTGGGCTGGGCCGGCCCCACCTTTAATATTGTGAGCAGATTTGAGTGTGCCACAGCATAGGAAAGAGATGAAGTGTGTCCAAAGGAGGGCTATGAGCATGATGAACAGAGGTGAAACAGTATGAGAAGTGGTTGAGGGCACTTTGTCTTTTGAGCTGGAGGAGGCTGAGGGGGGTTATCATCACTGTACGTAACTGTATATATATTCTGTATATTTCTCATGAGAAACAGCAGAGGGGCAGGCACTGGTCTCTTCTCTGTGGTGATCAGTGACAGGACATGAAGGAAAGACCTGAAGCTCAGTCATGGAGGTTTAAGCTGGATGTTCAGAAAAGGCTTTTCCCCCAAATAGTATTTGGGCACTGTAACAGGCTCCTCAGGGCAGTGGACACAGAACCGAACCTGACAGAGTTCACAAAGCATTTTGACAATGCTCTCAGGCACACAGTGGGATCCTTGGTGTGTTCTGCTCAGGGCCAGGAGTTGGGCTTTGATGATCCTTACAGGTCCCTTCAAACTCAAGATATTCTATGATTCCATGATTTTTGTGCTTTAATTTTTCTAAAATCCCAGGGGCTTCACTGATTTCACTGAGAAGGAAGATTGTGCTTTTAAATGGGGAAAGACATACTAGCTTCCAAGTGGCTGACCATGGAGTAAGGTCATGCCAGACTATGTCTGCATCTGGATTTTGTTATTTAGAGAAACAACACCTGTTTCCCATTTACACAGAAGAATTAGCTCCAAACCAGGCTGCTATACTTCCATTTGAATCCAGGAGGAGTCAGATGCCAGGTGCTGGCTTTTGCAGCTCTGTTTCAAGGAGTTAGTTTGATTTATTATACACTGTAGATGTTCTAGTTACAGGCAGCCCCACTTTCTTGTCCTGTTCCCCCCCCATTCCTCCTGTTTGCCAGAGTCTCCCTGTCTCCCTGCCACATTCTCAGTTCACACTGGGAGACAAGACATCTAAACCAGTAAAATCTAGAAGTATCTAGGTAAAGTCATGTCTTTCCCAGACCTGCAGGAAGATCAAGAGGATTTCCAAACTGGGGGCTGAATGTTTATGTGGGGGTAGATGTTGGCAGGAAGCAGGAAGGAGGCACAGGGACAAGTCACATCTGGAGTTTTCGTGACTCAAATTCAGTAAATGTATCACATCAGTCATAGGAAAAACATGTGCCCTGCAGCTGGAGCTGAGGTGTCTGGACTGTCTCTGGTTGGCAACTCTTTCACGTTTTTGTAACCTGTACAGCTGATAGTTAATTAAGTAAATGAATAGATCTTACCCTGGCAAAAGAGGCACACCCATGTCTTTCAGAGGGTGCACTGAATCACAGACGTTGCCATTTCACCGTCTGTGTCCGGTGAAGGGGTGTGTGGGGGAGCTCATAACCTGCAGCAAGGCAGTTAAAATAATCGATGAGTGCGTGTTCAATCCCAAGACAGGGACGGGGAGGGGGGAAGGAGGAGGGTGTAGGAAGGGAGAGAGAGAGACAGAGAGGAAGGGAGGGAGGGTGTGGTGGCTAGGGAGAGGGGGAGGGAGGCGGGAAAGGTGCTGATTTCAGCCCTGTAGCGTCAGGATTGCGTCAATTTGGGTTTCAACCACGTACTCAGTCTCAGAGCGGAGCTACTCAGAACAGCCAAAACAGGAAGGGGGTTGCAAATCAGTGTGCAAAGGGGAGGACCGAAGGTTCCCCTCCCCCCTTTCCTCCAGTCCCCTCGCAGCCTCCTCCTCCTCCACTGTCCCCACTGCTCGTGTCTTCAGGTTTTGGTTGGTTTTTTGTTGTTGTTTCCTTTTTTTCCTCTCTTTCTAATTTTTTTATTTTTTTTTTCTTTTTAACTGCACTGGCAAAGACGTTTACCCCAGCGCCGTGAGAGCGGATAGCCAGGGGACAGCAGCGCAGCGCGCTTGGTGCCCCGGGCGGGTCGCTTGGCATCCGGAGAGGCGGATCCCGCATCCCGGACAGCGGCTCCAGCACCGCGGACAGCGGCTCCAGCACCGCGGACAGCGGCTCAGCACCGCGGACAGCGGCTCCAGAACCGCGGACAGCGGCTCAGCACCGCGGACAGCGGCTCAGCACCGCGGACATCGCTCGCCACCAACATGGCTCCGATAGCGGACAGCCGCCAGCAGTTCGGTAAGCGCGTCCCGGCTCCCCGCACCCGGGGCCGGGCGATGCTCCCCTCCCAGGGATCGGAGCAGCATCTGCTGAGCCTCCTGGTACCTCCCAGTATGCAGCTTGTTGAGGTAGATCTGGTTTTCCCCCACTTCTCTTCAGGTCTCAGAAGTTGAGTGAATTTGCTTTCTTTCCCTAATCTCCCTTCCTCCCTCCCCGTTCCTCCTCCCTGGTAAAGTACCGGAAGAGATAAAGAGATTTTGGTAGGTGCGGTTTTGGAGAAGAGAGGTTTGGGGTTGTTTTCTGTGTCTGTGTTAAAGTAACATGCATCAAGAGTTAGATGATAATAATGCATCTTGTGCCACAGAGAAAAATCTTTCTTTAAGTCATTCTTGGAATAGTTGCCATTCCTTTTATTATTATTGTAGGTCAAGTTAAAGTGAAAGGACATTGCTAGGAAGATGAAAATACAAATTTCAGTGTTTTTAGCTGAACAGCTGCATCTTAACCAACCCGGACTCATTGAGAATAACAAAGATGACAATGAACTTTTCAGTTTGGCTCTTTCAATTCACTGCATGTAGTGTGTTACCAGAAGTTTCAGAAATAGTCATGTATGTGCACTTATAAAATGCATAAGTAAGTTGCTTTAGTCAGAAAAGCAGTAAAAGGGAACATTTCTGAACTCTGCTTTACAAATATTGACTCTAGCCTATATTACTCTTGCTTTAGCCGTGGTTTGATTCAAGGATCACTCCACTGACTTAGTGAAGAGACTCCAGATTTATATCACATAACTGGAAAAATAACTTCTCCCAGAATCAGTAGGTGATGTTTCCTACTAATGCACTGCCTTGAATATTAGCCAATTGATTATGACAAAAGCAAGAAATTCACATTGTGACACAATTAGTTGTAAATATAAAACCATTTTTGTTACCATTTCATCTTCTTTCCTATTCCACCCACTTGAGGTTTCTAACCACACTTGTGACATCATGCTTGTCTAATTACTTATTTAAGAAAGATAATTAATATTTTAAACATCAAATTGATTCTACCCCTACTTTCAGTAGTTGTAGAATTAAAGTAGAACATAACAACCATTACTATGAAAAGTCTATTATCTCATGAGAAAGTATTGTAGTGCACAAACCATTCTTAAAAGATTCTAAAATATTCTGATTAGTTTTCAATTGCTTTTAGCTTTCTATTTTTTTATCACGTATATTTCAATTTTTGCAGCCCAGGGAATTTTTGAAACTCAAACCCACGTGCTTAAGTTAGGAAAAATACTTTTTGGTTATGTGTATCATATTCAGTCATTTTGTTAAGTTCTTGCAATTAAGTGTGCAGACTAATACAGCTTGGAAGCGTCAGAAAAGTGTTGTCATAAAAAATTAATAGCCAGGCCTGATCCTTTCTGTGCTGGAACATTATGTCCTACTTTGCTCTGATAGTATTGTTGTGGATTTTTTTTTTTTTTTTTTTCTGAATCATCACACTAAAAAGCAAAGGTGTATTGGCAACACATTTATCTGCCCAGCTTTTACTTGGATTAAGCTGATTTACTAATACAGAGGGATAGTTTTCCTTTACTCATCCAGAATGACCAGAGAGAAACAGAACTGTTACATAATTGCCTTTATGCATAAACAATGTCATGACATTAATATTCTACTGGACATCCAGGGTTGCAGGGAATAAAGATTAAGCTCTGATTGTTACATTGTGGTAGGTTTAAACTCACTTAGTAATGTTACTTATGGGCAAAATTGGATTTCTAATTAGTTGTGCTCATTTACCTTTGATGCATGCTTTGAAGGCTAATGATACTCCATATGTAAATAATATATCCACATGGCAATGGAGGTTGTAACACTTGTTCAAGTTTCTCTTTATTCAATGTAAGTATAGGATTCATATTAAAACTGTAGAGAACTATGTTTTAACGTTTTCTCTTATATATTTCTAAGAAGTACTGACCCTTTCTGTAAACTCCCCATAAGATGTACTTCAGTGTCTTAAATGCAAAGCTTAGTAACTATCAAAGATAAACTTAACATGATTTATTTCAGCTTTGAATTCACATGTGCTGCATAATGTCACATCCATCTGGAAAAGACACTTGCTATATAATTATTCTTAATTTTATTGATAGACTTCCTCCTGTAATGTATTGAAAAATCACAGTGAAACTCTTGAGTGCTATAACCTCCAATTAAACTCACTTCTTCCAAGAGATACCTCCAGGCAATTATGGGACCAGACCATTAAAAAACAACTAATTGAATGTACAAAGTATTCTATGAAACATTATGGAGAGCAGATGTAAATAATGTATATTTCAGAGTTTTTCCTAGCAAATCAACAAACCTCCATAAACCCAAAGCTGAAAACAGCTGAGAGATGGTATTATTCACAGACATATAAGCTCAGAAACTACTGAGATAGTAGAAAAATTATGAACAGTAATTATTATTATTAGGATGGGAATAGTATTTTCCTTCCTGACTTTCCACATATGGAAAAATACTAGCATAAAAAGCATGTCTTAGAGTGGGACTGCACACTGGTGCCTGCAGGTGGCGAGCAATGTGTACAATGCAGAGCATTTCCAGTCTTTCAATCCTGCTGATATCACCATCTCGTATCAGCTTGTTTTACTGAATTATTGCACTATTAAATATCATGCAGAATTTAAGGTATTGCTGCTTATGTGCTTGTTGCTATTTATTTGATTTGCAGATGAAATTCCTACAGTGGTTGGGATCTTTAGTGCATTTGGCCTTATCTTCTCTGTCTCCCTCTTTGCTTGGATCTGCTGCCAACGCAAATCTTCCAAGTCCAATAAGACCCCTCCATACAAGTTTGTCCATGTTCTGAAGGGGGTTGATATTTACCCTGAGAATCTCAACAGCAAGAAGAAGTTTGGAGCAGATGATAAAAATGAAGCAAAGAACAAATCAGCAATGCCAAAGAATTCTCTCCATCTTGACCTGGAGAAGAGAGATCTAAATGGCAATTTCCCCAAAACAACCACAAAAATGCAGGGCTTTCCAGATCTTGAAAATTCATCTCCTAAGCATTTTGCAGAAAGGAAGAAAGATTCAGTATCCCCTGATAGCATTAAATCCATTGCTTCCCTCTCATCTGAAGATAAACAAGACAAGCTAGGAACTCTTTTTTTCTCCTTAGAGTACAACTTTGAGAGAAAAGCATTTGTAGTGAACATCAAAGAAGCTCGTGGGCTGCCAGCAATGGATGAACAGTCAATGACTTCTGATCCCTACATCAAAATGACAATCCTGCCTGAGAAAAAGCACAAGGTGAAAACCAGAGTGCTGAGAAAAACCTTAGATCCAGCTTTTGATGAGACTTTCACATTTTATGGGATCCCCTACAGCCAAATTCAAGACTTAACACTTCACTTCATGGTCTTGAGCTTCGACAGATTTTCCAGAGATGATGTCATTGGAGAAGTCCTCATCCCTCTTGCTGGAATTGAACTCTCGGAAGGAAGGCTACTAATGGACAGAGAGATCATCAAAAGAAATGTTAGGGTAACATCTTTTTTATTAAAAGTTTGACAATGCTGTGATAGGGTTAGCTATGATTCTTGTGTAATGCTGCTGCCATCTTGGAAAGAAAAGCCAAAAAACTCACCATACAATTCCTGAGATGCTTTGCTAATGGCAGTGTGAGGAAGCCATTTCACAAGTGCAATAAAAAAAAAAAATCCAAAAACATTACAAACAGCATGTTGAAATAAGTTTTTAATGCCCTAAGATCTAATTTCTTGTTCACCTGGTCCAGAAGGTTTGAGTGGACCCACTCCAGTTAACTCAAGCAGACTCAACTCCCACTGATTCACTTTTAATTGCTTTTCAATGAAAGAATAAAAGTATTTATGTATTATTCCCTTTATCCTCCATCCCCTTTTATGTTTTGCACCATTCTTTCTTAAATCTTACTGAAGTCAATGGAAATATCAACTGCATGGGCTGTGTAGCACATTCTTTAGGAATGTAGTAGTCTTTAGTTAGGGAAGTGGGACCTGCTAAAGACCACATTGCTGATGTCGTAGCATGTACTTGCATGCTGGTGCTGCCACCACCTTGTCTCTCATGAATTATGATACAGGCTGCAGCTTTACTAAAGGTAGTAAGGGTGAAGCCATAGACTTGCTGGAGTTACCAAGAGAACTTCCTGACTTCACTGGGACAAAAAAATATTTCATGCTGTGTTGTCTCAGTTCAGAGCGTAAGGGTCATTTACACCCACCCCAGCTGAACCACAGAAATGCACAGGCATCACACACACACATCTCTTAAATCTCTGCTAAGGAAGGGGAATGTGTATTGATGTTCAACATGATTGGTTTGAAATGACGAGCATACTGCCAAATAAAATAAAAGTCAATTAGGCAACATACCGATAGCTAATACTGTTATTTTGCACTTCTAGCACTATATGGCAACAAATATGTTACTGGTTTTTGTTGATAACTTATTGGATTTTCTGGTATATAAGGTACTAGCTTCTCTTGTTTCCCTTGCCTTCTTTCTCCCTTTGAAATAAACTACTCCTGCAAATTCAAATCAAATAATCATAAAGGAAATCTTTGATCTCAGCTTTATTTTATATGTATTATACTGCTTTAGAGAGTGTCAGGGGATAAGATTTCACTGACAGTTTGAATCTTTCCTGTTTAAAATACTTTACCGAATAGTTTTTCTTGTACTAGATTTTTTCTCCCAATATATCTTTATGAAATTTTGCTTTGCTTAAGATAATTTTCTTTTTTAAATGATTTTTTTTTTCCTTTCAGGATTTAATTTCTACTCTCCAAAGACAGTAATTTCATATCAACTTATATTGTCTATTTATTTTTTATTTTTTCTAAGGCTGATAACCAATTACAGGAAAATTTATATAACTAATATAGAGAGGAATCATACTCACTATGTAAATCAGAATAGCTCCATATGTTATGTCCTTTTACACAGTTTCAGACATTTTATAAACCTTTTCAACTCTGTTTTAAAACTTGGTCAATATAATTGCTTATAAATAGTTTTATTCCATTTTTTATTTTTTTTGTCCTTTAATTTCCTCAGAAATCATCTGGTCGTGGAGAATTACTGGTCTCTCTCTGTTATCAATCTACAACAAACACACTCACTGTCGTTGTTCTAAAAGCCAGGCATCTGCCTAAATCTGATGTGTCAGGATTATCAGGTAATGGTTTTAATAATGAATATGCCTGAGGAATATAAAGGAGAATGACAAAAAGACAGCTGAAATGTGGCATTTCAGAGACTAAAAATATTCCATAAATGCAGGTGTTTTTATTATTTACAGCGTATTCATTTTATTCATATCTAGGTCAGTGCTTTATTTCTAGGATATGTATCTTACAAATTTGTTCTTCAATCTCATCAAAAAAAGGTGACATCTGTTAGCAGTGGAAACCAATGAGTTTTATGATTGTCTTGAACAGAACCCATCTGCCATAAGCGTGGGATGTTGTTTGCAGATACCAAAAGCTTTTATTTATGAAAAAAAAATGAGTTTATTTGTAGAAGATCAGTATTGAGTGAGATCATCATATGATTTATGAAGAAAAGAAGCCTCTTACTCTGTGTTGAATTTGGCCCACTGAGCACCAACATTTTTTTGGCAATGTGAAAAGGTGAGCTGTGCCACTGCTGGGAGGAGGCTGCAGCATGACACTCTTGCTTTATTGTGAGCCAAACTTGCAGTGCACTAAGAAGGATCAGATTTTATCCTCTCTTCTCCCTGTCTGCTGCCATTTCTCATTCAATGGAACCTCCTCAGAAGACAATTCTAGAATAGAACATAGAAGACATACAAAGACTATATAACATAATAACAATATAAAATTCAATATTTATAAGACTGCCACACAGAAAAACAGTACACAAAAAAGGGCTGTAGTACCACACCTCCTGCTGCTTCTTTATAGGACTTGTAATCTTTCATTTCACTCAATATTATGAAAGATGCAGAAGAGGAAGTAGTTTTGGGAAACACTGAATAATTCAGTGTCACTGAATTAATAATAATATCACTGCAGCCAATAATTCAGTTTTTCTATTTCTCATACTGCAATTTACCTGGAAAGTTAGCCCATCCTGAATCCAATGCAACAAAGCTATAGGTAACTCTCATCAAGTTCCATTTAAATCTTCCTTTTGATCTAAATTTTGTTCACATATCAGAAGGAGAAGGAATGTATCTGAAGCCCAAAAATTTACTTGACTAAAAGAGAGGATATGTACTCTTAAAAATCAACCCCAAAGTCACAGGAGATAGTGGTGGTTTCATGAAGACAGCATGACAGCTAGCTGATATCAACAGACCCGCCTGAAGTTTACCCAAGTGGGAAAATAACTCAGTAAAAAAAAGCTCTCTGAGTCATACAATCTACCTGAACCCTATGGAACATCCATTTTTTACTGCACCTCTTACAAGCAAAGCTATAAAATGTATTTGCTTTTCCTACATTGCCTTAGAGAGCCTTGCTAAACTATGAGAATGCAGTATTTCTGCAGGCAGCCATGTTGCACCTGGACACCTACTTCATTTAAAAAGTTTTTCACTATTTTCTATCCATCAATAAGGCCAGGTGAAATGGACATTTGGGTGTCAGTAGCATACTGCACTCAGGACAGCCACAATTTCCTCTGTGTCTTTCCCCTCATCCCAACAACAGTCTTGGAGAAGGTGAAATCTGGTAGACTATTATCAGTTCAAACAAAAACAACTTTTACTTACCCAACAATTTCACTCTGATAACTGTGACATAAAATGCATTAGACTGTTTGGTTTTAGTATTATTTTTTTAAAAAAAGTATTCAGGCATTCTTGATGATCAATTTGGCTGATTATTTGCATAAACTATCATGTTTGACTGGGTTCAGTAAATAAGACTTTGTACTACATCACTGCACCACGAGAACCTGGAAACAGGCCCACAATTTCACTGAATAAATGCCAAGGTAATTGAAAGGGTTGATTTTTAAAATGTCACCTCTGAAAGAACAAATATGGCCATTATAGAAGATCATAGTAAGGAAACCTCACAACAATTAAATAATTATGAGGAATGCAAACACTCAAAGTTGGTTGGCAGCAAAAAATATGGACATTTTCCCTTCTCAAAATCAACAGCACAGGTGTAAAGAGAGATACACATTCCAACAGCAAATATATCCTCACATTTAAAGTTTAGTGTCAAATTTATTCAATAGCAATTGGTGGCCTCAATTTAATCAGGTTAATTGACGTCAGTAAAACCCCAACAGAAATATCACATCCATTTTCTCAGCCCGAGTATATCCACTCCTTTCTGAAGATTTTCTATTTATGAGTTTGATTAGTGCTCCTGATTACACCCAGTAGAATCTATGAAAAGCAAATTAAACAAAAATAAGCAATGATACATATTTTTAGACACCTTGAGAATTTTATATACTTTCAGACCATCTTTGAATTGGTAGAGGTGTTCTTTTTTTAATGGACTGCAAGACAAGATTTATCTCTTGAAGGAAACACCTGCATTTGATTGAAGTCTAAAGTTCAGTGCCTGCCTTGAACACAATTTTGGTGCCCATAAAGGGAAACTAATGAGGTTAATTCTGATGTAAATAAAAAAATTTAAAAATATATTAGATTAATAATGTTTAATAACTTTAAATAAATATTCATTGTGATATAATGATTTTTAATATATTATATATATAAATATATATAATATATATTTTATAGATATAATATAATATATATACATATATATAATATATGTATATTATATGTTACTTTAACATATATTATATGTTAAAGTAAATTGCAGAATTTACCAACAACTGGACCAAGGAATTTCTAAACACTGTTCAATAGCTGATCTGTGCTTTTTCTTTTTATTGCAGACCCTTATGTCAAAGTGAACCTGTACCATGCCAAGAAGAGAATTTCTAAAAAGAAAACCCATGTGAAGAAGTGCACTCCCAATGCAGTGTTCAATGAATTGTTTGTTTTTGACATTCCTTGTGAGGGCCTTGATGATATCAGCATTGAATTTCTTGTTTTAGATTCAGATAGGGGGTCAAGGAATGAGGTCATTGGCCGGTTAACCTTGGGATCTTCAGCAGAAGGAACAGGTGGAGAGCACTGGAAAGAAATTTGTGAATATCCTAGGAGACAAATTGCCAAATGGCATATGTTATGTGATGGTTAGCAGCTTAGAGAGGGGTTGATCTTAAAAACTATATATATTTCCATTGGCAAGGAGCAGTTTGTTGTTTTTTTTTTTTTAATTTGCTATGTACAATTACAAGCTTTTAACTACAAAACTTTTTTTTTTTTTCAAGAGGGGCAGGGGATTTGAAATAAAATTGAATTGAATTATCAGAACAGAAGGTAACTTAATTTTCACATTAAATAACAGAATTTCTATTTCATTAAACTTTAACATAATAAGTTCAGATTAATATTCTTCTAGAGTTTAAGTGGCCTGTAAAATCTAAAGCACTGTAAACCTCAAGAAGGAGAAACTTTGTTTTGAAAAAGTCACTTATTAGTGACTCATATATAGAAGAAGAAAACCTTATTACAATATATCCAAAAAAAATATCCCACCTGTGGCTTATTAGGGAAGGGGATGGATCTATAAAAGCCATGGGGATTGAGGGTGAGTAGGGGGGGAATTCTTTCTGCCCCTCCACCAAAAACCTTCTTTTATGAAAATTTAATTAATATTTGTAAGTTTTGGTTACTTATACTTTGATCATCCCAAAGAATGAACATTTTTTTCAACATTTGGTTTTACATATCATGTTGGGTAAAACTATTATTTTTAAGTGTAGAACTATTATATAATTTCTTACACTTGCATTTTTTAGTAAGTTTATATATATAACTTTTTTTATTGCAGTGACCAAAATAGATACTTCAAACTAATGATCAAGTTAGCATACCTTTTTTTGTTAAAAGGGCTCCTTTACGGGTGACTGTACGTGTTACAGTATAGCTAAAATTTGGAGTTAGATATGGCTTGGTTTTTTTTCCTCTTGGTAAGATTACACTTTAAACATTTCAAGCCATGCAAAAGAATTTCTGTTGAGATGAGGTAACATACAGGATATTACAATCAATTACTTTTCACCAATTATATTTTAACGATTCACTGGTACTAAAAAAAATTGATCCTTTTTTTGTTTTCTTTTTGTAGTTTCATTAAAAAATAAACAAAAAAGTGAGATAAAGAAGAAAACCTTATTCTGCTGTTTAACTTTCTGTGTTTAACCTCCTGGACTGTAACAAATGCCATTACAGTCAGTACCAATATCCAAACTTCAGTGTATTTTTAAAATATTGCAGGAGAGAAAACCAAATTCACTTTAAAATTTCTCCAATATTACATAGAAAAAGTACTTGGAAAGTACTTTGACGATATATGAATTAATGTACATTACTGACTGTACTGACAATGGTGGTGGTAAGGGAAAACAACATCCTGACTTCATGTCAGTGTGACACGTGTCTATTTAAACTTAAATTGTGTCAGGCTGAGGAAATATCATGTGTAATAATAACAAGGGTACAAATAAAGCATTTAGACCTGTGAAATTTAGTCTTGGTCATACCAGATAGGTTTTTAGGCTGTCAGAACTATAGCACAACTATAAGCAGATTATTTCCTAAGGTTTGTGCACTAACTTCTGATACAGAATTGTTTGCAAGTATTAGTCCTACTTCATTTTCAAGTACAATATATATAAAGAAGAAGATAGTGATGTTAGTTGTTGACATAAGAAGGGTTAAAAAAGTGGAAAACGATTTCAGTATTTTTGCATACATCATTTGTCACATGTAATCCCATTGAAGCAAATGAGACTACTTGGGAACTAAGGTACTGCTCATTGTGAGTAAAGGTAGCAAAATGGGCATGCCAGGTTAGAACAAACCAAACATACATTGAATGTCAATCTACTTTCATTAAACAACAGACCTAGGTCCTACTTAAAACTGTTGGGGATTTGTTGTCTACTTTACCTGTTCTCATATGGCCAAATTATGTTTGCAGGAAAGGACACTGAAATATGAAATATGCAAGTAGACAAATAGTACTGGAAGAATTCCATTGAGGCTCTTCCAGGTTTTGTGTCAGTATTTTCTCCAGTTTTTGAGAATGTGTTTGATACAACAGTGTTTATAGATTTCTGTAAAAATACATTTTCAAAATAACATAAACATGCTTTTTATGATAATGCTAAATGTAAAAATATTGCGTATTGTATGTATAAAGGAGAGGAATCTTTTTTGATTATTTCTTTAGAAAGCTGATTAACTGCTTAAGGGCTAGAGTTTGCCAGCCACATTCAAGCAGAGCTAATCCAAAGCCACCAAATGAAAGGAAAGATGCCCACAGGCTTCAGTGGGGTTTGAGGCGCAATCACAGAGCAAAACTCTTCTGAGTCAACCCAGAAATGTCACTGGGACCATGGATATGGGGAAACTTTGTTTTATCCAATGGAGACTGGGAGAGTTTAGGTCAGTACAACACAATCAGAACTGTTACAACCTCTGAAAAGAAAATAACTAAGCTGGAAAGGATTGCATCAAAGAGAGTGGGGCATCTTGCAGTTAAAAAATATGGAGGTTTTTGTATGCTGGCCCGTAAGTAGTTCATTATCTCTAGAATTCAGATGACAGGCATCATCTGTCTCCAATGAACATAAAATATGACATTAGGGGATAACAACTCATCTTTTTGAATTAATGCTGGGCTGTGATGATCATCTTTCATTTTGTATCCAGCAAGTCGTCACCAATTTATTTATTTTTGTTTAATTTTTATAGCAGCTTGAGGGTCAATATTTCTACTAGCTAAATGTCAGTTTTTGTTGGGGGTATGGGGGTTGAATGGGAAAGGGAAGCAAAGACATTTTTATTAAATCTAAAAAAACTCTGTAAATAGATGTTGTTGGTTGTTTTTTGTTTTTTTCATTTAAAGCAATTCTTAGTTGGGAAAGTTGAGTAAAGACGACTTGTAACACATTTTAAACCAGAAAGAGGCAGGAGAGCGAATGTTGGCCTGTACTGAGGTGAGAAATTCTGCTGTTTTATAAAGTATTCAATTCTCATTGTGAATATCTTGAACTCTGTTAAGGATACTGTACTGTATTCAACATGTAAAAAAAAAAAGATGTTTGTCTAAGTAGCTTACAAAAATAATAACTCCTTGAATGGGAGACTATCCATGTCTGGAGATCTGTCGTAACTAAATACCTGATTCGTTATGGTGTTGTAACTTAATAGAAGCTATTCAAGAGGAAGCATGGTGTATGAGATTTTGTAAGTTATTTGTGCTGGTTCTGTATGTTGTGCCATGTGTGTAAGACAAGAATAAACTGCTGCTTTTGTTCATTCCATCCCAAAATAATTATCCCACCTATGTATCTTTTTTTTCCCCCAAAGATTTCTGCTATTGTTTGTGTTCATAGTCTACTCTCTCATGCCTCTAATAGAAGGCATTTGACTTGCAAAATCTTCCTCTTCCCATAGAGGTGGATTAAATTTGTTCTGCCAAATACTACCCAGGCACATCACATGTTCTTTATTCCCAGCTGCTTGCTGAATATGAGTCCTGAATTCCAGCCTGCACTCAGGCTGGAACACGGCCCAAGACAGAAGACATGGGTCTTATAAGGACAGATATACAGATGCAAACAAGAATGTTTTCTAATATATTAGGTAGAAAAAGCAAAATTAAAGTCAAATTATCCTACTGTCATTCTAGTTGTTTTCCAGAAGCAAAATATTTACCCTGGCCAGTAGTGCTGTACCACTTCCTTGTAGACAAGCAAGTCGTGTCAGGCTCCAGCTTGTCAGGTGAGTTTGGAAGCTGATGCAGAGAAAACATTCATTCAAGTGCTATACACAAATACAAACTTTGCTGCGGTGCTCTCTAAGATTATTGGAGTATTTACTAGCACAGAAACAGAAGCCAGAGAAGGAAGAAGGCAGCTGCAGCTGGGGTATACTCTGTCATTTAATGACTTCCGTTGTGAGCTCCAACACCCAAAAGGGATCCCTGATCCTTGTCACAGAAATCAATTACGGGATTCACTAGCCAGATGTATAAAATAGAGCATCTTCCACAGTTATAAGCTGATATATTCTCTCTGACAAATCTCCTGTTCCCAGGAGACAGATAACAAGTGTTAGACTGCTCTTCTCCATCACACCCAGGTACATTGCATTGTACAGTTCTCCTCAAAAAATGGTGATTCACATGGTTCACATTCCAGACCCACTTTTCCAGGATGGAGATCAAGAAAATCTTTATGTTCTGATCCAGAATGTCTTTGTGTTTTCCACATACAATGCAGGTGAGCCTCAAAGCTAGTGTTCTGATTTCTATTTATACCTCAAATTGCTACAACAGACCACTGAGAGAGAGAGGCCTTGTAGATATCCTTCTCTTTATAGGACAAATCCCCAAGGTCTAACACTGTTCTCTAAGTCTGTTGTGAGGTGCTGAGCAGCTCACAGCACTCTTGTGGCTGCTATATCTGGCACTGACACTTATTTTCTTTGCTGATGGTGACTCCTGAGCCACTAACTCAAAACATCCTACCCAGTTCTCACAGGCTTTCTCCATATTTTTAACCCTCCCCAACTGAACAACTGTTGCAACACAACTTCAGTCTGGAAGCAGCACTGTAGTACAGTTGCAGCATGGAAGAATTTCATAGTTAGGTAGAATAAAAGGATAAAACTCAATAAGAAGGGAAATGAAAGAAGTTAAATGCTTTACTATGTTTTTGCTATGCCTTCATTTTTACGCCAGTTTTGTCATTGTGAGTTTCTTTACACAAACAGAGAACATCCTGCAGTCACAAGTGTGAATGCTCTGATTTCACCACCAGCAGCAAAACCAGGTGTTGTCCTGAGAGGTCTGTCAACTTGTGTTTGAGCCCTTCAGTCTCAGCTGCATCAGGAGACACCACTTATGCCTCCACACCTTACCCTACTCCCAATGCTCTGCAGTCACCCCTGACATGCTCTGAATAAACTCTGGCAGTACTGTTCATGTCCAGATGGAAGAGCTGCAATTTCAAAAGGCTGGAAAACCATCGGCAACAATCTGGGTCCTGCAAACACCAAGATATCACCAGGGCAGGTTGGCAGATTGGGAATGCCTCCCCATGTGGTGCTGTTCCAGTATCTCTCACCCTCCTTTTCTCCTCTGTGAACACACACAACCTGTGGCTCCAGGATGAGGCTTGCTCCTGTGTTCCAACCCTGGACACTGGAAATCTCACCAGCTTCTGGCATGTGCCACAGCCCCCCCTCACTCTTCACTCCTCCTGAAGCTTCAGCAGCCCCAGCCATGTAACTCCCACATATTTTAAAGTTTCTGTAATAGTGTAACTGCTTCTCTTTAAAAAAACAGCATGTCACTCGCCCTGCATATCCTGCAGGATTTCTCGCTGTGAATCTTTCTGGCAGAAACCTGCTCTTAGGTCAGTAAAGAACAGGCTGGGTCTGACTGGAAAGTGCTCAGCCTCCTCTCATCCTAGTGAAGGAAATTTCACTCATTACTGAATCTTGTTCTTGCTCTTTGGACTGCAGGCTTTTATAGGTGACTCAGCTGTAAGAGGGCATGAGGTTTTGCATTTTTGTAAAGCATGGGATTTGGGTTTAAGTGAAACATGCAGGAAAATCGGGTCCCACTGGGTGACAGGTAAGTGCTGTGCACTGAAAACAGCTTTGCTGGGGCCGTGCTCACACACAGGGCTGAGGTAGCAGTCACGTGCAGGAGTTCTGAGTCACAGCTTTTTGGGTTGTGACTTAAACCAGAATAGATTGTTCGCAATATAAGTTAATGTTGCAAAAAGTCTTTTTTCCACGTAAGAAATACTGTGTTATGAAAGGCTCTTAGTACCAAAAAACAAACCCCAAAAAACCCCAAAAAGGAAAAAAAAACCCCAAAAACCCAAAGAAGCACAAAATCCAAGATGCAAAATGCACATTAAGACTGTTTTCTTTAGAAATTGCAGGTGAAAAAATATCATTGTGAAATAGCATCATGGCTGTTACAGATAAGGGTGCTGTATGGTGACTGTGATATTTAATTTAGTCTTGAAGACAACCCCAGGGATAACCATGAATTTTCTCTGACAGATGCTGTAAATATTCTACATGGCTCAGAAAACACAACTGTTTTTATGGAAACAAGTAAGAAGCATTTCACAGTATCACTTGCCATATTGATTCCATCTCCATAATACCCTCTTAATGAAATAGCCTTTAGGATTGTGTGAGTGAAAGTTTCTGCTTGAAGAGGGAAACCTCTGCATGCCTGTGTCTGAAGTGCCTCTGTACACTGATTTGTGGGGCAAATAAACAGTATTCTAGCCTCAATTTTCCTTTCAATATCATGGGATAAAGCTTAATAACATCAATAGCAGATACTAACTTCATGAATTTTGTTATGAATTATTATTTTTGTTGCTCTTCAGGGTTGTAATGCAGGTCTAGGGACTGCATTTTCTATTTATTGAGATAAATCACTCAGAGCTGTATGCTGCGATAGATATGGAGAAGAAAGTAGATGTGAATCACAAAAAGGTGGATAAAACTGATACAAAACAGGAACAAAGTCAATGGAACTAAAATATTTACAGTAAGTTATTTAGGTCTATAATATTAATTTCCTATTTTTTTCCTCATACTTCTGTGTTAAATGCCAAAACTGTCCTGTAATCGTGAATGAATGAGAGTTATGATATGGTATACAGCAATCACGCCACTTTTATTCTGTGCAGTAAATTTAAATGAACAATAGAGAATTATCCCAGGCTAAAATCAGAAGTTATATTAAACAAAAATAAAAGATAGATAAATAAATCAGCTTGAAATGCATATGAATAAAATGCTGTCAGCAGAGAAAAGGAGGTAGAAGTCTGATACTTTCACAGAACAAGCAAAACCAAGGTGCAGTTGGCCCAGATACACATTTCTAATTCCTGTGAGGAGCGGCTGAGGGAGCTGGGAAAGGGGCTCAGCCTGGAGAAAAGGAGGCTCAGGGGGCCCTTGTGGCTCTGCACAAGTCCCTGCCAGGAGGGGACAGCTGGGGGGGTCGAGCTGTGCTGCCAGGGAACAGGGACAGGAGGAGAGAAAATGACCTCAAACTGTACCAGGAGAAGTCCAGGCTGGACTTCAGGAGGAATTTCCTCACAGAAGAGTTTGTTAGGCATTGGAAGGGGCTGCCCAGGCAGACCCTTGGAGGTCTTCAAGAACTAACTGGAAGTGGCACTCAGTGCTCTGGTCAGGGTGACAAGGTGGGGATCAGTCACAGGTTGGACACGATGGTCTTGGAGATCTTTTCCAACCTTAGTGATTCTGTGATTCTGTGATTCTGTGATTCTGTGATTTGTGTTGTTTTTCACTTATTCACACAGTAAAAGCGGCATACTCTTATTTTAGCCTGCTTTGATGCACACTGTGTGCGATGGTGTTGCCTTTCCTTTGAACAAAGGCTGCAAGGTATGAGTATTGCACGTCTTTATTTGTACAAAAATTGCCTAAGGGACTGTCAAGGTTTCACTGTTGGAAAGTGCTGGGCCGAGGCTGATGCTGTCAGGTCTGAGCTAATACAGTGATCAGGAAGCTCTTGTCCCAGGTGTTCCTCTAGTATCCCAGGAAAAGCCTTTTGCTTTCATTCCTCATTAGGAGACCCAAAGAGGGAAATGTATGTTCAGAACAAAAGATTTGGTTTACTGCTCTGCTCCAGGCTTTTTTAATCACTGCATTACTTTATACTTTTTTCAGTAGCTACTAAAACTACCTTAGTTATGCTGCCCTTATATGTCCTTTTCATAGGTGTGTGATGATCAAGAGCAGCCCTGCCAAGAAGGACTTGGGGTGCTGGTGGATGAGAGGCTGGACCTGCCCTGGCCATGTGCACTCACATCACAGAAAATCATATCCCACATTGTGTCGAGCATCCTGGGCAAGAGGTAAACTGAGATGATTTTGTCTCTCTGCTTCCATGAGACCCCACCTTGAATGCTGCCTCCAGCCACAGGGCTCTCAGCACAAAAAAGACCTGTTGGATTGAGTCCAGAGAAAAACCATCAGGATGAGAAGAGAAATTGAGCATTTTTACTATGAAGAAAGGCTGAGAAAAATGGGCTTGTTCACACAAGAAGAAAAAAGGCTTTGGGGTGACCTAATTGCAGCCTTTCAGTACCAGAAGGGAGCCTAAAAGAAAGTTGGAGACAATTTAGAGTAATGTAGTGAAAGAAGAAGAGAATGTTTTTAAACTGAAACAGAGCAGGTTTAGATTAGATATTAGGAAAACACTCTTTACTGTGAGGGTGGAGATGCACTTGCACAGGTTGCCCAGAGAAGATGTGGCTGCCCCATCCCTGG